TTTTCCCACAGTTAAACTTCGCCGCTAATTGCTGTTGTGATAACTTTAATACGATCTTCTAACGACAGCACTTTGCATTTCGGACATTTTCCAACAAACTGAAATGAATTTCCTTTGTTGCTAGACTAATTTATTAACACCTGCACCTAATTTCAAGGGTGGGAGAAGTGCCCGGGATGGGTTCGAACAAGAGTTTAGACTAATTCATTATATTAGGAGGCGAAAACGTTGTTGAGATGGGTTCTTACAATAGTTTAGACCAGTGTTTTTCAACTTTCTTGAATACGCGACCCCTTTACAAGTCAAAAAATTCTGGCGACCCCCTACGGCATATTAAAACTATGTCAGTGATTTTAAAAACTACGTATTTAATTTTCTTTCTGTTGAGATTTAAATATCGATCAAAAAACTAATTGTACTGTAAAATAAACAGGCACAGCCTTCTCACTGAAATTGTAGTTTTTTTTATTGTAGTGTAGGACCTACAAATACTTGTCTTTTTCTTTTACCCGCGATCCCCCGTGTATGGCTTTGCGACCCACCTGGGGGTCGCGACCCACAGGTTGAAAAACACTGGTTTAGACCACATACATTCGCAAAAGTGGTCGCTTATTACAGGTGTTGTATGTTGCTTCGGACCAAAAATCGATGCCTGTGGTCGCGTTACACAGGTGGTCGTTTAATACAGGTAACTTATACCAAGACTCTATGGATAAACTCTTCCGTGCCAGAAATTTTCGCCCGTTTTGACAGGTGCCCGTCGAATGCAGGTGGTCGCCTAAGCAGTTTTCACTATATTTTAAATAAAAGTAAAAATTATTTAATGTTAAATTTTATTAATTTGTACTGTTCTGTACACTACTGTCAGCATACACGTCTGGATGATCCGGGATCAATCCCAGATCACCCAGACATAAATAACCTCAGAATTTTTTCAGCCGGTGGTCTGTTCTAAGTGTCGGGCCACTTTCTCATTATTTTTCCGCTCTCATTTTGGGTCCAAAATGGAGCGGATGGGTGATGGACTAAATCCACGAAGGATGCCTTCTTTTTGCTTATAGAGCTACAAATTAAAAAATATCTATATATCAGGGATAGCGAATCTTTTTGAGCCCGCGTGTCAAATAGTAAGCATACTTGGCTTTAAAGAAGTTTATGCCTGCCAAAATTTTAATTTCGAATAATAATATTTTTAAAAATTAAACGAATATGATATGCTTTAATTAGAATAAATGTAAAAAGCTGATTAAAAAAGGATGATTAGGTGATAAACCGAATGGATGTTGAAAAACACATCGAAATCGTATGATACGTTATATGACAGATGATTTCTGCTTACGTGCCACTTTGGGCATACGTGCCATAGGTTGTTCACCTTTGCTATATATGCTACTTATTAGAATATTTATTTGAATTACCATTCAGAATAGTGTGTATGATTTTTCAACATTTCCAATGAACTTTATTTCTTTATTTGTTGTATACGTGACTTGTTTGTTATGCGTTTTGACTTGGGACAACTTAACCGTAATTTTCAAGTTAAATAATTATACCAATTAAGTAATTTTATAAAAAACGTAATGATATACTAAATATTTTCCTCATTATGCAGATAAATATTTAATAGAGCTGTCAATTTAAGTAAAATCTAAGTATTTATTTAGTGTGACTATTTATTAGTTTCTATTATAATACGGTAGATGGAATTAGAAAATTTTCAAATATACAAGTTTTCTTGCCCATTAAAAGAAATATAAACACTATATTTTCTCATGTTAAACTATATTATCGAGTATATTTATGCATTTAGTCTAATAATTTAGTTTGACAAATAAATCAAATTTTATGGCAAATTTTAAGTATTCGAATGTACAGTAATTATCAATAGTCGCACTCTGAATCTCAAGGCTTAGTTAATATAATAATAATATTCCACATAATAAACAAGCATATTTATTNAAATATATAACAAGCTTTTAAAATAAACTATCATAACAGATTAGCGCCACACGCAATTTTAAATGTTGTTGCCGAGAAAGTTACGTAACTCGTTGCTGGACTTTTTTAACTTGTTGTTATTAACAAAATTTAATTAAATTGATTATTTAATTTTCTTTTGTACGTTTATAGAAAATCATAAAATGCTATTTTGAAATTAGAATGCGTGTTAAAATCGAAGAAATGCGGTATATATTTATATTATCTGTAATAAAGATGCGTAATAAATTATTTATCGAATGAATTAAACGAAAAATTAATTTTAAAACATTGTTGCAAATTTTTTTTTAAACATAAAGTTTACAATTAATAATAACTGAAAATTTATATATATTACAACAGAACCTCTAATAAGGGCCACCTCTCAACAACAGCTGTTTCGAAACAGTTGCCATTTTTCAGGAAATTTTCGTTTTTAATGAAAATGTATACAAAATGACCTTCAAACGACGGACATTTTTTATGTTTCCGCCAGTGTCCGTTGTTACAGTTTTCACTGCATATCACTATTCTACATTATTCATAATTTTCAGAAATGATCTATTGAGATCACTATATAAATATTGGCAAAGTTAAAAGAAAGTTTCACGTTTTTCTATAGATTGTTATTAAGATTACCATTACAAATATTAAAAATGGATGTTTTCTTTTCCTTACGTATTTATTTAAAAAAGTCTTAATTATTTAGATTTTTATGAAAAGCATAAATTTAATTGAATATACAAATATTACTAGCTCGTTAAAACAACACTATTTTGTTGTTTATAGTCTATGACTTGCACAAAACATATTTTCAAACAAATGTTTTGCAGCTAGGAACAGCATGCTTGAAATATAAGAAGTATACTATTATTTAGTACATTGCATACTGATTTTTATCAGTGTTTATTAATATTAAAGAAACTATATAAAAATATTAATATATTTTAGATAATATAGTAGACTCTCGTTAATTCGAACTCAGATAATTCGAATCTCCTCTTAATTCGAACTCGGTTGTTCCGCCTCTTGTTTATTCGAACTATTTAGACCGTCCCTCTGAGTTCGAATTAACGAGTGTCTACTGTGTAAACAATTAAATCATCAAGTAGTTTTTAAGATTTAGAAACAGGAACAAAGTATTTTTTGAGATATTCAAAACTGCTTATTTCACTCAAATTAATTTCATCGGATTTAAGCATACAATCGTCTTTCAAATGAAAATATGGATTACACATTTCGATAATCCATTCTGAATAAAGGAATTCTATCTGCAACTTCATCAAAGGTGTAACTTTGGCGCCGCATTTACTTTCGTACAGAGTTAAGATACATCTTCTTAAATTATTCAAAGCACTTTAAAACAAAATTAAATTAAATTAAAAAATGTATAAATGAAAATTTATAGTACATCTACACTTACCAGCAAAATATTTCTGCCTTGTCTTTAGAATAATCTTGAAATATAAGAAGTAAGGATGATAAATTATCTTTGAAACACGACGTTACATCCCTGTAATTTTGTTTTATACACGAAGCTTTTTCCAAATAATCTAAAAATATAGTTATTTTTATTGCTATTCTTATAAATTTAAATAATATTATTTTGTTTAGTAAAAATTACATAGAATTTCTTACCTTTGTAAAGCTGTTTACTTGGATTGCAAAACTCTTTCATTTTCTCTGCGGTTCTATTGTAACTGAAGTGATGGATTGCTTTATCTGTAGAAGTCACGCATTTACGGCTATAATTGTATATGCAACTCCTCACCTCTTGAAATATTCTATATAAATTTGAAAGCGCGTAAAATTTCTGAATAATTATGCGTAAATAATTTTTAAAAAAGTCTTACTGGCATTGTCTAGTCAACTCTATTTCATTACCAGGAAAAATGTTACCGAATTCTCTAGCAAATTGACTTATTTGCAGCACACAATTTCCTATAATTTCTATTTCGCATCTGTTATTCGGACTTTTTGTTCCTTTAATATAAATAATAATGCAATAATTACCAACAAAATAAATTTAGTACACATAAACTATTGGCACAAACATAAAAATTTATTTAA